TTCTACGTGTCCTGCTGTAAAGAGATCCCAGATTACTGACGCTGGGCTCCTCCAGTTACGTCACAATCACACCGAGACGCTCAGAGTGAGATCTGAATAAACTTTCACTTGAGCTGATCTCTGGGTTAATTATTCATCGCTGATCGTGTATCGGGCCACAATAACAGCCCAGAGGAAAGACCGACGCGGACAAAGACAAAAACACACCAGCTAAAGCTTTTTAAATGGCACTGATAAGCTTCCAGGTTAGATATTACGACAGACGTGTTCCTTCATAATCGAAATGTCACTCAGCCAGAGAGAGAATCCGCAGAGTTAAACCAAAGACGAGTCAAAAGATGGGAGTTTCTTTCTGCTTCTGCCTGATATTTCCTCCGCGTCATCTTCACCATCGACACTTCCTGCTGTCAGTTTAATGTTCAGTGACTACGAGTTAATCATTGAAGAGCAAACACCCTTTCAGAACGTCAATCTGTTTGTTTGAGATACGCAACATAACAACAACTCCTGACCCGACCAATGGCGTGAGTTTGGGGGCGGGGCTATCTGTCAGATGGAGGGAGTGTTTGTGGCGATAAAATAAGCAAAAGATCCCATAGAAAAACCCAAGACTTATCTAGTGACTGGTATATCAGAGAGATTAACCACCTAGCAACCACTCACAACACCCTAGCAACGCTCATAATCCAAAAACTTCTTTTAAAAACTCAACAATACTCATTACAAAAGAGTACTGCTGAAGTACAGTGATTGTAATATCATAGTACTTTTATTTACCGCATGGCTGTCTGGAATATTTGATTGTGACGGCATTTTATAACCAAATCTACTAACAATTATTTTGGTAATCGATTAATCTGTCGATTATTTACTTATTAATCAGGTAAGCCTGGCAAATTACTTCTATATATATATAAGGTCCCTGTCTTCCACTATACCTAATGTGTGTTTTGTCCATAGAAATGTATTATTTACTACTGTAAAGCGATGTGATCTGATTACTTGTCGATTACTTTAATTATTAATGATTATTTGTGGCTGCCCTAATCAAATCATAGCTGTATGATCAAATCAACACTTAAGTTTTGCAAAGAAAGCAATGATATGTCATTGTCATACGGTATCATGTTCAAAAGAGATTACTTTCCACACTTTTAGGTACTTTTTTGTAAGTAACTACCAACCAGTGTTGGGGAAAGTTACTTTTAAAGGGGTCATATGATGTTGCTAAAAAGAACATTATTGTGTGTATTTGGTGTAATGAAATGTGTTTATGCGGTTTAAGGTTCAAAAAACACATTATTTTCCACATACTGTACATTATTGTTTCTCCTCTATGCCCCGCCTTTTTGAAACGCGTCGATTTTTACAAAGCTCATCGGTCTGAAAAGCGAGGTGTGCTCTGATTGGCCAGCTATCCAGTGCGTTGTGATTGGCCGAATACCTCAAGCGTGTGACGGAAATGTTACGCCCCTTACCATGCTGTGATGCCCTGTCCAGCCGGAGCGACGAGACAAAAACATTAAAACCCATATCGGATATCGTCCTCTTTTGGAAGACCAAACAAAGTAGTTTCGCTTTCACAACGAAGCACACAGCGCTTCACGACATGGCGGCGGCGGCAACAATACTACAGCGAGAATAAAAGTTACGCCTTCTTTCTTTGCGTGAACATTTGGGCGGCGTTATGCAAATCTTCCCACA